CTGGTCTTTTTTTTTTTTGTGAGTTAGAAACCGCTCAAAACTTTTGAACCTGATTAGAATTGCTTTCTCTCTCTCGCTTTAAGCTTTTACGGCCTGAAGAGCAAGATGCATTTAGTAATCTCTCATCCACTGCCCATTACTTAGAATTTAAAGATAAATTCACTTATGGATAATTGCTATTATGAGTCTTTTCTATTCAGACATAATAACGTAGTTTAGGATCAATAAAAACAACATCAGAATTGACACTGTCATGAAATACAGAGTTCGAGTTCTATGGAAAAGATGTTAAAAAAGCAAGAAGCCTCCACGGGCCGTGTGAGAGACACGCTCATGGCAGGCAGAACAGTCCCTCAAACTTAAACGATAAATAATTTTAGACTGTGGCATTTAGCTGTTATACTTTATCCTTCACATAATTTAATTTTCAATTTTAACAAAGAAAATACTTACTTCTGCACGCTTGTTCCAATATTAGTTAAAAATTCTTCCAGTTGTTCATTGAGATTTTCAGAACCCATCTTAAAGAAGCTTATCTGGGGCCGGCGTAGTGCGGGTGAACAACACAAAAACATACATGGACACGCATGAAAAAGATACTCAAAGTCAGTCATACAGACAACCTCTGAGGTGCACAGCAGTTAAGATAAAAAACAGCCTCTAAGGTGCACAGTAGTTAAGTTAAAAAACAAAGGATTTGTATAAAAATAGGCTGTCATTTACAATGACTCAACTGCTCACCAGGCCCTGAGGGAGTGAGACTTAATTTTCACTGCGTATCTTTTTATATCTTCTGAGTTGAATAAGCCAATACATGCATATGGTAAATAATTTTTTTAACTGGCAAATAAATTTTAAAACATTTCAAAGTAAATCATACAGAGAAACTGTATCGTATTTACTACCAAGATGAACAAGTTCTATAAGGAATAACATAAATCCACATATTTTAGGGAATATTCAAATTTCTTTTAACTCTTGATTACTAAGGGACTGACAGCTTGTCTTATATTACCCAAAACTACTTTCTAGCCTCTTTCCTGATGTGTGCTCTCTGGGCATTTTGGAGTTCACCTACTATTTTCACTCAGGAGCTGCACGAGGGTCACGGGACAAACTCAGACTCATCTGTTCTCTTTCAGACCTAGTATGAAGCAAGAGTGATTGGAAGCTCCACCCACAACTGCACCTCTACGATTTTATTTAGCTATCTGTTCTGTTCCCTGTCCCACTTGTGATGGACAAAGTCCAAATACAAAGTAAGTGGTTTCAGTTATCCTAAAATATTTGAAATCTTCATTTGCAAGGATAACCATTCTCCCTAACTCCTTAAAACAGTAATCTGATGACACTTCAAAACTTACTTTTTATAACACAGATACAAATGAGTGTTTTAACAATAGTTGGTAATACCCTTACATTTAACACAAATATCAAACTGGATATAAGGTTTTTAGGACAGTTATAATTCAAAATTTAGTATTCACCTGAGCTTGCATGTACCCAAGTAGAGGTTCTAACAATGCTATTTTCTTCTTGTACTGAAGAGTATTTAATGCGCAAAAATAATGCATCATGGTCTGGTGTTGTTTTTTTCTGGAAGTGTACACATCTTCTGTTAATTCATATTTCACCTTTTGAATGAAAAGATTAAAAATTCTATTATTTAGATAACTTTGGATTACTTCAGTAGTGGCTGTGGGGAAGTCTACCGACGGGAAAGGTCAATCACCAGCAATTGTGCAGAGCCTTGCTGCTTCCTGATGTATTAGAAATCACTCAGCATACTGGCTAAGATGATTTTCTTGTATTACTATCAGCTATCGCATTTCAGGAGCCCTGGTGGTGCAGTGGCTAAGAGCTACAGCTGCTAACCAAAAGGTCAGCAGTTCAAATCCACTCGACTCCACTGCACACACCACCACCACTACCCCA